AGCCCCAAAACAGATACCAAACATTGAGTTGTTTTTTTTTTTTTTTTACAAACATATATAAAGAATTTTTTGGTTTGACTAATTCAAATTCGTGTGGGTTAAAGAAACGCTTTCTAAGATTTGAATTGAGCGATTGAAAATAAAAATCGTATATATTCATTTCACCGTAATTCTTCGTGGCAAATACTGAGTATATTTTAATACTTAAAAGGAAGTTTCCTTTACAAGACTAATAATGAAATAATTATGGCTTCCAATTGGTATATCCAATTGAAAATTGAAACCTATTAGTTGCTACTCATTGTAGGAATTATAAGTTATTATTGAATAATAATACATGTATATACTTTTTAAAGTTTACTCTATTTTCTTTAAGTGGAAGGACTTTGCCTAAAGCTTTTTCTAGATTAAAGTAAGTGCTAGTAGTTTTGTTTTCCCTTCAATGATTTTTGAGCTATTTCCCTTTTATATGCTTAGAAAAAAAGCAAATCACATAGGAAATTTTAATACAAGATTAAATGGGAAAACTATGAATGAAATAAAAAATTATCATGTTATGGGCCATTTCCTGCTGTAATGGATCTTAATTATGTGGTGTAAATTGAAATTAATCAGGCTTCAAAAGTAAATTCCAAACATCAAAATTCCAAATACAAAAAACAAAACTAGGTGTTTTGCCTAATTAGAAGTCTCACGTTCAAGCTATGAGAATAGAATTATTTTTGATATAGAGCGCTTTACAGTTTACTTTCCATTTTGAAAGATACTCATGTTCAAATATTACAAATAACTTTTCCAAAATTATGTTAAGTACTTTGAAATTGAACAAGAATTCTAAGATGTCAAGTCACAAAAATAAGTTGATGTAACAAGCATTTACTTTTCAATGCATTAATGAAAGAGGGAAAAAAACAGGTGAGTGGATTTTAATTAGTTGGAAAAAATATAATAAGATTTTTTTTTCTATTGAAAGTGACTTGAGATGACTTTGGCCTAGACAATTGATGTTGTTACTCAACTTGGTGATTTGTGTGATTTCAAGTGCTTTAGTACATAGAAACATTTATATAACAAAATTGACATCCACCTAGTTTCTATACCCTTAAATTATAGTCCATTATTTAGCAATGTATGATGTTTGTACGATGCACTATCGAGAAAACAATCTTCAATAATTATTTACAACTTAAATGGAAGAAAATAATCTTCCAAATTGAAGACTTCATGTGCTGATTTTTTGTGTTATATTTTACCGATCTTCTGGATACGAACGGAAGGAGCTGAGTAATGTGCCATTATCATTACGTTTGTCGTTGCAACATATTTGTAAAGCACAAATATGCTCTGGCGATTACGTCTTCTATGGTAATATTACTAAGAAATATATAGTAGTATGAATCTTTTTGCCAAGAATATATATAATTAAATAATAAAAGTACATTTTTTCTAACAGCTTAAACTTTTAGATGAAATAGTTACACACTTTAATATGGTATCAGAGATGATTACACATCACACAGTTCAACATCTAGGGAGGAAATTAATTCCTCTTACATCTATAAAAAAAAATCTTTTTTTTTCATAACTATTAACACTATATGACATATATTTTCCACTTCTGCCTCTTGTTAATTCCAGTAACTCTTAACAGGCTGTTAAAGATGTACATTTGGGCCCTACATGTCTGGGCCTGTTTGTTCCACAGTCCATTATCTAAATAAATGATCCAGTCCACTTGCAATGATATATTATAAAGTTGTTATGTAACCATTGAGCATTGAAATTCATTAGTCTGACTAATTTGAATTCGTAACGTAAAACTCGAGGCAAGCTCATTTATCCAAAAAAAAAAAAAACTCATCAGTACATTTATATTAAACTCCTGGTGATTGCCATGATTTGTGACATACTCATTCACTCCGGAATAACTTTAAATATGTTACGTTTGAAGTTGCACATGATTTGTCAGGCCTAATTTTAAATATGTATCTAAAGTTATTTCAAAGTGGTTGTGCAAGTCGCAAAGTTAAGCTGTAATGTTATATGCTCAAATGATTTTAAGCAATGTTTTTTTGCAATGTGCTTTTTATGAAGCGGTATCATCATTTGAACTTTATGAATTCTGAATTTTAGGACAATGAAGCGGAATCAAGAATTTCAGCAAGCAATGCATTGGTGTTTCCTCTCCCTCAGCACCATGTTGGCTTTCTTGCAATTGCTTCTCTTTAATACAAGCAAATTTTCATTCGATTCTAAATTAATATGTTGTGATTTTGACGTTGTCACTGACAGTCTAGTCTAGCATACGGAGGGGCCTATGGTTGGCAGAAAGTAATCACACCCAAGTCAAGTTGGACTAAAATTATTGAGTTTAGCCAAACTTATAGGTAAGGTAGCTTTCTAGCTCCGCACCTCCACCCCTAGTTGTGGGATGGTATCAGGTTTTTGAGTGACCATTTAAGAGATTAACTCGGGAAGTCTAGAAAATATGAATACCAAGTGAAGTCATCTTGATATTAGACAAGTACCTATTTTGTGTATCCTATAAGTATGTGAAAAGGGAGAAAAAAAAAAACATCACCCTCCTCCCTTAGTGATATCTTCTACATTTTCTTTATCCTGTGTGAATATGGACTATGTCTCAAAAGCATACATTTTTATTACAATTTCAAGCTTAGTCAAAGAGTTTATTGGTTAATAATTGCAACTTCTTCGTTAAAAACTTGACCCCGGTATGGACCGTAAATTAATAAGACTTGAACCAAATATTTGATAATTTCATGGTGCATCAAAACTCAAATTGATGTCTTATACCCTCTTGGTGCGATAGAACTTGAATCTATCGTCTTATCCTAAAATATTTTTCATTAAGGTGCATCATGTCTTTAACCTGATGCCTTATCCTTTTAGTGCGATGGAACTTGAATCTATCGTCTTACCGTCAATCATTGCCATTATAGGCTAAAGTGCAAACATTTTCATTTTAAACGGCCTTTAAAATTTATAAAACTTACTCACTAATTTATCCTTAAACTTTTTATAACGTACTCCCTCCATCCCATTTTATGTGGTAGTTTGACTCGCACGAAGTTTAAGAAAGAGAGGAAGACTTTTAAAACTTGTTGTTCAAAATGAATGATAGAAATTTGTGTAACTGTAAATCATTTCATTGAGGGTGAAATATATATTTTATAGTTAAATTGTTACTTAATATAGAAATGTGTCATTATTTTTGGGACTGACTAAAGAAGAAAGTAAATCATATAAATTGGGACAAAGGGAGTAATAAATATTAAATACCTTAAAACCATCTACTTTGAAATAATCACGTTTGTGAATTTTTTTTAAAATGTCTCACATCTTCCTTGGAAAATCCCCTTGGACGCTTACCTAGATTTTTGATAAAAATATTTTTATAAGGAAAAATCTTTTATTTCTAAATGGATTTCTAATTTTCCAAATAAAATTAAGTGACGATTCTATTCCATAAAACCAGAATCTTAAACGAATTTAAAATCAATACCATGTGGCTTGCAGTCACTTAGGGGTGTCAAATGGGCGGGTTGGGTTGAAATTGGAGATATTAAAATGGGTTGAAATAGAAATCAGGTTGGGTCTTGACTTGCCCAAGTTTACTTTGGGCTCAAATGGGTTGAGTTCAAATGGGCTAAAAAATGGGTTGGATCTTGACCCGCCCAATTTGACCCGATTAATCTCAATAATTTTAACATAGTGATATTTAACTTTTATAATCAC